GGCTTGATTTCCACTAAAATGTTTGGAGTCAGGAATCTGACTGATTCCAAACACTGGTCTCAGTCGGAGACCATTGTTCTTCTCTGGACTTTCTGAGAATTACCTTGTGGATAAACTGAATGTTTTCACATAGCTCAGCAAGCCATTTTTGACAGAAAACCTAAGACTTAAGACTTAACTCAGTTGGTCAGAGCATGGTGCTAATAACGCTGAAATTATGGGTTTAGTCCCTCTGTGGGCAATTCACTTAAGATTTGGACTTGATGCTCCTTGTTGGCCCCCTCCAAATCAGGTTTTCACAGAATATTCTTACTTTCTCTAGTTTCTGAGGGTTTCAAAGTAATCTCTGGCAAATTTTAATGTTTCAAAGATGAGAACAGCATTTCTCTCCCACCTTTTCTCCTTTCATGTTCTTGCTTGAAGCTCTTTTCTTATATTTTGAGGATTATCTGCCTCTACCCCCTTTCATCACAATTTCTTTTTCACAGGCAAACTATAATGACAAACAGGAGAGCGCTTAGGAGAGTTGGGTGAGGTGTTATTTTTCACTCTCACTGGTTTATTCTGCTTGTCTTGAGTGGTGATAAAATTATTAATGTATGAGATCTGAGATGTCTGGCTAACAAGTTTATTCTAACTAAAAGAGCATTCCCTTTAACTGCAAAATGTTTGGGATTGCTTGCAGCTGCCCACTACTGCACTGAACAGTAACACTGTGTGTGCCACTCCTACAGGCTCAAAAAGGAGCCATCTCAAGATGTCACACTAGCTGCTTTTGCCTTTTTAGAAGTTCTGTTTTCCTTTTGTTTGTGTTGGTTTTTTGTTTGGTTGGTTTTCCCCTTCTGAAACACTGTATAGGTTGGGGCTTTGAAATCACTTGGCAGAGAAAAAAGGAACAGAGGGGGAAGTGCTCTTCATGTGTTCTCTCACTATGATCATAACTAAGGAGGCTTTTGTCTGACCTGCCCTGAATTATATTTTTATTTGGAGTGCTCAGACCTCCAGCACCTGAAAGTTCAGTTTCTCCATTTTTGAAAAGTCATTAATAGTCTGATGTTCCAGAGAATATTTTGAGAAGTTGGTTGAAAAATGTTATCAAAGTGGTAGTAAGACAAACTTTCCCTGATTTGCAGAAAAATAGAGGGAAGATCATGTATTTTCCATCAGTATTTGGGTGTGAAGGATAAAGAATGGAAAATAACTGGTAGGGTTTCTGAATCTGCTATTTTGGACTTGCATTACCATGACTTATTTGTAAATCAAGACTTATAGACCAAATCTCCCTCTTTCCATCTCTAAGACAAATCTTGGATCATAAGAATTTTGCTCAGGGCTGAAACAAGCAGGGAAAAATCCTTCTGTTGCAGTCCTGGGTCCATAAACAGGTTTCACCTGTCTATAACTTGATGAATGAAAATGTTGCTCTGAGCTGGGATCGATTCAGGATAAAGCAAGCCTTGCTCTGGGCATGTCAATACAGTTTAAAATATGACTTCTTTCAGCCAGAGAAATGCCAGGCAAGATACTGCTGACATCTAGAATGTAAATAGCTTTGCTTTCATACAGAATGTGTCCATTCCACACTCCCTTCTATGCAATTTTTATGTCCCTGACACCTCCCTGGACTCGTGCATTTGTTGGAAACAAGGTTCATTTACATTACCATGGATCACCAAGTAATCCACCCTTCCTTGTTATTTAATTTCAGGAACATCTGGCTGCTTGGAGGACAGTTCCAACACTGTTGCTGCCAGTTCAGCTTGAATATAACTTCCTGCCATTCCAGTCAAAACCAATATGAATAATTTTGCACATAAATCCATTTCAAATTTATTTAGCATCTGTCCCAACACTCCTGGACCTAAATGTTGAGCTTAAACGTAGTGAGGCTTTAAAACTGGAATCTTTATCTATAATTGGTTGTAGGAGTTTGGGGTTTTTTATACACAGTTTAATGAAAGAAGACATGAAGGAAAATCCTATGTTAGTTGTACTCCTGCATCCCAAACCTATAGAGGTAGGTGGTTTTTTTTGCCTTTGCAGAATTTCATTAAGTTCAGGTCAGTTTGCAATCTACCTGCCTGTGTAACAGTGGAGAACCAGAGATTTGTTTGTTCCATCGTACCTTGGATTTGAGGGAAATTATTTAAAAACCCAAAATGAGAAAACAAGTTTTAAAATCTGTTTTAAAACTAAATTTGATTGAATATAAGTTATTCAGTGGTTCAGAAAGAGAAACACAGAACAGAAAATTAGATTTGTTGAATATTTGTGAGTCTTTGGGCTTCTCTAGGACTTGTGTTATGGGAGTTGCATACAGCTATAAGGATGCCTCTCTTAGATACTTCTAATGTTTTATGAACTGGATTTTTTTCTCTGTCACTATTAGCATGAAATAAACCACCTCACTGTTAGGGGTGAGTGTCAAAGCTGTGCATATGGAATCACATGCTAGAAATGAAATGAAACAAGCTTTAAGTATATGTTCCTGTGGGAAAAGAACTTGAAGAGAGAACAAAATCTAAGGGCATTTCTCTCATTCTGTATTTTTATGCTTTCTGCTGAGAGGTGTTTTGGGGAAAGCCAACAGGAACAGTTAATATAAATATGCCAATACTCATTGAAAAATCCTCATTTCATCATTTCACTAATCGTGTGCTGGAGAAAACAAAAGCAGTTCTATGACTCTTCCTAGTTCTTAAAAACTGCTGTGTGTGCTGAAAAGAGCCCTAATTTGCAGACTGAAAGCAGAACATTCCAGTTCTGGGTATATTTTTTAATCACTTACAATTTTGACAGGGTTAGCCTGGAGCAGAATGAAAATAAGTGTTGAATTCACTTCTTGTGTAATTTCTCAGAAGTAATCAGGTGTTTTCCATGCAAAGTGAAGGCGAGAGAGGAGAAAAAAAAATGTTCCAACATCTCCTTAAATTGGGGTTTTTTTTGGTATTTCTTGTGTTTTTCCTTATCATAATTTGGACAAGTCATTATTAGAAGGACTTCACTGTAATCCAGTCAGTGGGAGAAAATACTGGGAGATGTACAAAGGCAAAACACTAAAACATTAACAGAATCTAACAGAATTTGAGCTTTTCATAATGAATCTTCAGAAATATCTTCTATTCAACTCATTAAAGAACATCAGAACTTGAAAAGAAATGTAATTATGTTGTTAGGTTTCAGTGTTTCACACAGAATTGCAAGAAAGCTCAGTGGCCATTGGTTGAATTTACATTAAAAACCTTTGAAATTAAAACGAAGAATTCTACAACTGAGCTTAATGATGCTCAAATACACTTATTGCATGCATGGGTTGTAAGAATAAGATCTCTGTTGGAATTTTGAAATCATCAACAACAACAAATCATCTTTAAGTGAAACCTATTCATTATACTTTAAATTAGGTCATGGGGCAAAAGCCAAATCACCAGATCATATGTTTAGAGTGTTTTTTATGACTCTCAAATCCAGATCCTCTGGGATGGATCACAGTGACCAGCAGACCTCTAGAAACTTCTCAGGTTGCACATTTTATTTTACATAACAGCATCCTTAAATAAAGTCTTTCACATCTATTGGAAATGTCATACTTTTAAATTACTTTTAAGCGCTTTCTTTGGGAAGTGTTTCTCTGTATCCAGTTTGTTTTTCTATAATTTCTTCAGGAATTTTTTGGTAAATATTTCAGTAAAAAATTCTTTATCTCTTTGGTGCCATATCAGAGAGCTCTCTGTGGAACTCAACCATGTATTCTAAATTTGCTACAGGCAATAAAATATTTAAAAACAGGGTGGAAGGGGGGAAGTAAGTTACCTTAAATATAATTCTGAAAAGAAACAACTTTTATTTTTTTTCAGCCTACCCATAAGGCTGAAAATACCAAGAGCATAAAGTTCTGCTGAAAATATGTAAATTCATGTGGTTGTATGCATTATGAGATGAACACGCTTCTCTTTCACCATTATCCTTTTCTTTCCTCTCCACCTTTATGTGAACTCTTGACTGTAATTCTGCAGGACGTGTGAATTAAAAGAAGCTTTTTGGCAAAATACCTAAAAGTTAAGATTTTTTTGAATGCTCAAGCTCTGAAAAGCAGTGCTTATAAAAACTTCTGCTGTTCAGAATTCACTTTTTCCTCCCCTTTGGATTTTTATTGCCTCTGGACAGGCTAAAGCAGTAAGGCCTAAAAATGAACCTTCTTTTGAAACAAGCAAGTATTATTGAGTGCTTCTAGGGCACAAGATGATGTTATTCTCTAGATCATGTTAATTGAGATATCCTTATGCCAAAAAACAAGTGCACGTGCTCTTGAGACTGTATTACAGACTGACCAAACAAAAATCTTTGTACATATTACAACATGAGGCAGCAAGATGCAAAGGAAGGAAAACCAGAGAAAGAAGCATGAATGTTTGGGTTTTTAAAAATTTCATTATTTTTTTAAAAAATTGTTGTTGCACTTGGTGAATTATTTAAAACATGTTTAATAAAATGAGTTAACTTAATTTGCAATGAGCAACAGTGGTTGGAGAATGGGAATCTTTACACTGGATAATAATGAGGAGTGGCTGCCTAAGCTTTAAACTTGCTTCATCCACACTAACTTGATTTTCTTGACATGCTCTAGATGCAAGATATTTTCAAAGCTATTTCCTCAACAGCAAAATGTTTTTATAATGAAGCACTTGTAAAATATTGCAGCATGAACTGAAGATCACAGTGCTATGAGAATATATAGACATGGGGGGAGAAAACCCTGCAATTTCATTCTCTTTTTGGTGGCAGTATGTAGGACTGGGTTATTTGATTGCCTCTTCTTCCACACCTGATATTCATTATTTTCATTATTAATATAAACCTGTGTGTCTATTCAGATGTCATTTAATAATATTTTGCTATAACATATATCTTGATAGGTTTAATTTTTGTCTCACACTAAAGATGACTTTTTCTTTCTTTTAGCAGTACTGTTCCTCATTTATTACTTTTTTTATCTTCAGTGGGTGGAATTGTTAACTCTGAAGTTAATTTGGCTGTGTAAGCACGTACCACACCGTTCTCCTGAAGTGTGGATCAGAGGTACGATTGTTAGCTGCAAAACTAAAAGGACTTCAAACCCTAAATGGTCTGTGTATGTCAGCAAAAAGTTCTTAGATGCATCAACCAATAAGCTCTTGTTGAATAAGCATTTTGTAAAATGGTTTGTGTTGGAAGGCACCTTGGAGATCATCTCATTCCAACACAGACATGGAATCATACCACTGTCCCAGGTTGCTCAAAGCCCCATCCAGCCTGGCCTTTGACACTTCCAGGGATGGGCATTCACAGCTCCTCTTGGGCAACCTGCTCCAGAGCCTCACTACCCTCACTGGAAAGAATCTCTTCCTAAATCCTAATCTAAACCTGTCCTCCTCCAGCTGAGGCATTTCCCCCTTATCCTGTCACTCACAACATGCCTGTGGGAATGGACACCTGCAGGTAGCTTGGTGACCATCAAACCACAGCTGAAATGCAAAAGAGATTTATTTCATTACATCTCTAACGACACTGGGCAGCAGAGACTCCTCAGTTCATCCAGGGGCTGCTGGCTGCCCCAAATTTCAAAGAGTTTTGTGCACACCTGGTTTATCACAAGGTTTTGACTTTGTGATTTCTCTCTCCCAGCAGGAGACTCAAGCTTGTGTTTCGGAATGTGTTATCTCCACACAGGAATTCCTCCTCTCAAAGCAGGCAGAGGATGAACAACAATAGGTATAATGAAGGGAAGGTTTCCCACAGCAACATTTTTAGCAATCTCAGCTGCAAGGTAATTTAGAGCAAAACTTCTCCCTCTTCACCAAATCTTCTGCTTTTAACCCTTTCCTGCCAATGATGCCCTGGTAAGATCTTGTCTTTCTTGTAGCCTCCTTTGGGTGCTACAAGAAGGAAGGCTGCTATAAAGTGTCTCCAGAGCCTTGTCTTTTCCAGACCAAATGAGCCCAACTCTCCTGTTTCCATAGAAGAGGTGTTCCAGCTCTCTGATCAGTGTTTCCAGTCAGTGGGAACTTCATTGGACTGCTGTGGCTTCTCAAATGTGTTGCATAGTGCCTTAACCACTTCCTCAGGCCATTCCCTCAGGACTCATGGATGTATCTCATCAGGACCCAAGGATCCGTGCATCTTTAGTTCCTCAGATGTTCTTGAGCCTGGTCTTCTCCTGCCACAGGCCTGTCCAAGGGAGATGTTGCTGTCCTAGTGTGACATATCCAAGTCCTGTTCTCCCTCACTCTGGAGCCACCTCAGGCATCTGACAGTAGTGAAATGGCTCTGTCCTGATCAGCCTGGGAGACCAAGGATCCTTCCCATGCCTGGCAGGCCAGCAGTGGGTGCTCCAAAGCACTGAGACCCTGGTAACACCTGTGCATCCTGTTCCTTATGGCTGCTGCCCTGGAGATGAGGATGACAAGCTCTCCAGTGCTCCTGGAGGAGGCATTCCCTTGGTCTTGTCATTGTCATCCACCAACAAGTGACTGATAGCCCTGGGCACCTCAGGTGATTGATGGTTCTGTTCCTCTCCAGCAGCCTCACCCAGCCTCTGCTCTTCATTCCTCAGTTCCTGCTGAATACCTCCAGCAGCTTCTCAAGAACTTCCCCTCAGATGCCTTTGGCTGCCTCCAGACCATCCCTGGCAGTGGGGGCACTGCCTTTTACCCTGCCCTGGGGCACTCTGCTGCTTTGCAGGGTTCCAAGAGGAGCTGATGGAGCCCTCCCCTGCTGAGCCCTGACCCCAAGAGCTGAACTGTGCTGATCCCATTCATCACCTCTCCTCCAGCTGCACTTACATCAGCTTTCTGCTCCTTGCATCAGATCAATGAATATTCCTGCTGGAAAGAGGAGTGCCTCTGAAATATCTGAATTGACAAGAAGCCTGAATGCAGCAGTGAGAACTGTGGGGCAGGGTGAGGAGAGGCGTTCACACTCCTTGTAGAGTGGAGAAATGTGCAAAGAATTATTAGAAAATTATTTTCTTCTCTGTGGTGAGGGCCTGAAGTGATACCTTTAAATCACTGGCATTAAATCAGTAAGTAGGAATAGAAATGACTCTTTCATCTCTACTGCATATTCACCTCACATTTGCTTATCACGAACTATCAAGCATTAAAGACAGTATTGCCTTTATTTAAGAGTATACCAGAAATCATATGACTACAGAAAATGACATGGGGGTAATCTTTAAATGCTTCTTTTTGCTCTGAACTGATAATTTCATTTTATCCCTCGTCTTTATTAGCATTTCACAAAGTGCTGGGTAGAAATGTTTAGACAAATAAACCCATACTCAACTTGATTATGTCTAGTTATATCTTGCTGCTGCATTGGAAATGCTGCTGAGATTATTTGTGCCCCTAGATCCTCTGCATGTTGAATAATACTGGCCTAGGTAGCAAGGAGAATGCTGTTTTGTAGGATGCCTTTCAATCTTATGTGACATCACTTGCAGCAATTGGTGTTACTTTCCATCACCATTTGCCAGTTATTTTAGCATGGTCTTCTTTTGCCAGGTTCCCTGAGACTTCTGCTAAAATCCAGATGAATTCATAGTGTCTTCCTTTGTCTGCCCAGTCTTCCACTGAGCTGTAAAAACCTTTCAGGATCGATTGTGCTAGTATCTGTTTCTCAGATAATTTTTTCTTCTCTTTCTTGTTTCTCTGTAAGTTCCATAGGGAATGCTTAGAAATATGGGCTTTTTTTTTGTTTGTTTGTTTTTAGTTTTTATGCTTACTTAGTATTGTGCCTATATTGCAAAGTAAGTTCAGAGGCTGAAATACATTTCTGAGTCATCAACATGAGCATTAAGACAAAGAATTTTGGAGCTACCTAAGGGATCAAAATGCCGAGGTCCCACTAAACTGAAAAGAAACAAAATATCCTGATTCTTTAGCATCACTGATTTGTGTAAAATGTAATAATTAGCCTAATGGCAAAACCATTTCTTACTTCTCATTAAATTGCATTTGTGTCAGCAGGAAAGGCTTTGAGTTTTTTGCACACAAAAAGGCCGTATGCTATAAAATTTTTTTCTTTTTTTTTTTTTTTTTTTTTTTTGGTGTATTTTTGTTTTGTTTCTTTTTAGTTTTTATGCTTGCTTACTTTGCAATACAGGCACAATACTAAGTTCAGAGGCTGAAATGCATTTCTGAGTCATCAACATGAGCATTAAGACAAAGAATTTTGGAGCTGCCTAAGGGATCAAAATGCCGAGAAATAGAAACAAAAGAAAAAGAAACAAAATATCCTGATTCCTTAGCATCATTGGTTTGTGCAAAATGTAATAATTAGCCTAATGGCAAAACCATTTCTTACTTCTCATTAAATTGCATTTGTGTCAGCAGGAAAGGCTTTGAGTTTTTTGCACACAAAAAGGCCGTATGCTAAAAAAATACAAAGTTCATCCTAAAGGTCTTGTTTCTATTTTGCCTTTGTATCAACTGGAACTCTGTTTTGCAAATGTTAGCACATTAGAAGTCGTTCCCCTGTTTATTTTTTTTCTCTTTGTTCCTGAGATTCCTTATTCCAAGCTACCAGGCATCATGTTGGCAAAACCATTTCTTACTTCTCATTAAATTGCCTTTGTGTCAGCAGAAAAGGCTTTGAGTTTTTTCCACACAAAAAGGCCGTATGCTAAAAAATACAAAGTTCATCCTAAAGGTCTTGTTTCTATTTTGCCTTTGTATCAACTGGAACTCTGTTTTGCAAATGTTAGCATTTTAGAAGTCGTTCCCCTGTTTATTTTTTTCTCTTTGTTCCTGAGATTCCTGTTCCAAGCTACCAGGCATCATGTAGAGCAGCAGCAGCTGCTGTGGTGGGGACAGCACCTGTGGGGAGAAGATTTAAAGCACCAAGATGTGTGTTCAGCAACTTCTGTAAATGTCAGATTTAAATTTGTTTCTGCACGTAAGTCAAAATCTTCAAACCTAAAAGTTGTTGCTCCAGGGGGACTGGGACTCTGCCTTGGGATATGATGGAGAACTGAAAAAAATCTGGTCTTTGGTGCAGAACTTTGTTCAAATTCTGCCTAGGAAAGGAGCTGTTCAAGGTGGCCAACCTACAAACCTATGGAAAATACCACCTTGATTAACAGCTGTTTTTAACATTATCTTTTAAGCAAATACAGACCACTCTGGCAAGCTGGTGATTAAAGTCTTCCAAAATGTATTTTTCAAGGTGTTTGTGTGGGTTGATATTTCATTTTTGTTACAGTTCAGGATGAAGATAGCTTTAGAAGGACAGGAAGCACACAGAGGGCCCAGTGCATCCTTGATTTCTGCCAGAGGACAGATTTTCTTTTTTTTAATGAAGTTAATACAAAGCATTCTATGCAAAATTAGAAGCTTTTAAACAATGATGAGACTAGAAAAGTCAAATATGAACTAAATATGCAAATATTTTTTTGCAGATAATGAAGAAAAAATAGTTGTCTCATCTTACTGTGTTTCAATACTTCATCCATTTTTTAAATGAAGTTAATACAAAGCATTGTAAGCAAAATTAGAAGCTTTTAAACAATGATGAGCCTAGAAAAGTCAAATATGCACTAAATATGTAAATATTTTTTTGCAGGGAATGAAGAAAAAAATAGTTGTCTCATCTTTCTGTGTTTCAATACTTCATCCACATGTTTTCTATAGCACTTTGCCAATAAAATATTCTCTCTAGTTTTGAGACAGGTCCCTGGGTTTTCTTGTCTGTGAACAGGCATTGGATTGTATACTATAATGTATTTATTTCTACAAATGCTAATAAATTTTAATGAATGTTTATATTTACAGAAAACTTTCAATATGCAAACTATATCCCTTTAAAATACTCTGTAAACTAAGTGAGGCTTAATGGATCAAACCCAAGTCTTCTGAGTCCTGATGTGTCGTCAAAAGTTGATAAACATTCTTAATCCTTAGGAGTGTTCTCCCACACTTGCAAACATTTTTGTGGGTTGAGATTTATTCATGTGGGTCTCATGTAGATCTTGGGACTCCATAACAAGTCCAAATCATCCTTGGTAAAATATAGTGAGTTTTTAATGAGTAATAACAGCTTTCT